CTATGTCCTCGTCTTGAACGAGTTGCTTTGGCTCGGCAGGCTTATCATCCTTCTTGTCAGATGCGGGGCTTTTCTTCGACTCATCGTTCTTGGCCATTGCAAGTTCGAATTTTGCCTCGTATTCATCTTTCTCACCATCAGAGAGACCCTTCCAGATACGAGTAAGCTCATCCTCAATGTTCACAGGGATCTCGTTGTCCTTGTCCTTGTTCTCGAGACCAGGCCGTGATTCCAAGCAAAACAGATCAAATGCACTGGTGGGCTGCTTAGAATCGCTCGCAGAGATACCGTTGGCATGAGCCGGCTTAGGTTGGCTTTCTGGGGGGTGTGAGAAGGTTTCGGAGGTTGGGGAGCCGGCGGTGTTGGTAAAAGATGCAGCGACTGGTGCCTTCGAGTCGGAATCAGGCATCATCGACTTTCGGTGGCCTCTCTTCGTACGCAGAGGCTTATCTTTGGGCTTCTGGTGGTTAGCTAACTCACTTGGTACGGTGAATTGGTAGTCCTAATCCAAGCGCAAAAGCATCAACATTGAACCGGGCGCCGTAAGTAGTAGAGGCGCGGCAGGCCGGTAGAGGATTGCCAGGCAAAGGGAGAAGAGGGATGGAAAGAAAATAATAGCATACCGTAGGGGGCGGGCTTGGGCTGCCGTCTGAATCCTCGACATTTGCGCTCGTGCGCTTTGCGAGCTGTTCGAGGAGAAACGCGCGCTCTATTCGTAACTTTTCAACCTGGCGCTTGATACGAGCAAGACGAAGTCGAGCGGCATCATTGGCGTCTTCAACTTCATTGGTGCGGTTCTTCAGCTGAACACATTTTCGACGATAGGCCTCCTCCACGGAAGGAGGGAGTGTAGAAGGAATCGCTGGTGTGCGAGGAGGCAGGTCAGCTTCTGATGCCTTGCGCTTGAGTGTTATGGGCATGCTGGGCGTTTGATCTGGAGGCGAGGTAATGATGCGAGAGCTGTGAGAACGATACAAGAACGTGCGACAAGGAGAAGAGTGTGGTTGTGAAGCGCAGGGCAAATGAGGATCGTGTGGTAGATAGCGTAAGGGATGTGCCTTGGCCTTAACCTAAGCCGTGAGTTTGAAGGTTGGAGTAACCAACGGAACCCACACCAGGCGCGATCGTTGACAGTGAGCGATTCTGTCATGGGCGAATGACTTACCGGGCATGGTTGGCTAGCTACCTGGGCAGGTATGAATCACAGCTAATAATATTGCCTCTACAATTGGTATGTATGTTTCTGGAGAAGATTCGAATATGAGATGATAAAAGATAATTGCGACGTCGACTGTCGAAGTTCGCTGTGAGTTCAGGAGTGATTGCTTGACGCGCGTGACGATTCGCCAGGTAAGTCAGGCTGTTAAGCTCACTGAATCACTGGTGGGCGGTGTCCACTTGAATCTGTAATTGATGAACACTGAAATCAATCAGGCAACAAGACAAAGAAGAAGCTTCGTCACCAAGGCGAGAGGAGCTAGTACCTATGGCGCTGGTCGTGGGTATCAGTATGAAAAGGTGTTAAAAGTAAGTGTGTCAATCAGCCATCACGAGTCGCAAACCTCGACGGTGTCAGTTTGTTCCCGTCACCAAAGCTTCGCGGGCGTGTTCGTTTGCCACAACGGCATGCAAGGCTGAGAGGCTTCTTAAGGGGGTGTGGCGCAAATCATATCTGATTGGCCGGCAGGACCCTTGAATCTGCCCCTCAAATTGAGGCTGTTATCAGCAAGAATGCTTATATGTAAGGCAGCTACGGAGTAGGCTGCTAGGTTAGGTTGTCACTACCTAAGGTAAAGTTGCTGATCCGGGATTCTCAAGCATAATAATATAAGGGATTCTTGTTTGCCTTCAAAACTCCACAAGCTTAGCTGCCACTCATTCGTAATCAACTGTATTCATCATTGTGAGGTAGAGGTAGAGTACCGCGCTGACAGGAGCGAGCTCCCGTCTAAGGTGAGTGCAGGCAGTCGGGTACGTACCTGCTACCCACTAAATCACACCGTGGAAGTTTTTCAGACTTGGGGTGGTGGGACACTGAAGCTAGTGGGCGAAATCTATCCATCAACAGGTATCACATCGACTTTCAAACCAGACACAATAGTTGACGACATATCTTCTACAGCCACAACCAAGAACTTCGCCTCCTGAGCACTGTGGCCGTCGAAAATGTCGCTCAATATCCCCAATGCCCCCAACGCGGGCTTATTCAAGCAAGGTTATAACAAGTGAGTTGCTCCCCTCCTTGTGTTGGTAGCTCCCCGCCTCTTTACTTGCCTCCTTACAAATGCCACTTTCATGATCACAACAATCAGTAAATGATTTTTTTATGAATCCGACTAACGAATACATCTCTTTCTCAATAGCTACGACTCCGAAGATGGTGCTGTACTTCGCAATATCGACGCCTGCAGAGCGATTGCGTCTACTGTTCAGACCTCGCTTGGCCCCTATGGCCGCAACAAGATTGTCATCAACCATTTGCAAAAAATGATCCTTACCTCTGACGCTGCGACCATCCTACGCGAACTCGACGTTGTCCACCCCGCTGCCAAACTCCTCGTCATGGCTAGTCAGCAACAAGAAGCCGAGATGGGCGATGCTACCAACCTTGTCATTGTCCTCGCCGGCGAGCTGCTTCGAAAGGCAGAGGATCTGCTGCGCATGGGCCTCAAGACATCAGACATCGTCATCGGCTATGAGAAGGCCCAGAAGTTTGCTCTTGAGACCCTTGAAGAGCTTGCTGTTGACAAAGTGGAGGATATGCGGGATCAGGAAGAGCTGAGCAAGGCCATCAGCACGGTTATTGCCAGCAAGCAAAACGGAAACGAGACATTCCTTGCCGGTCTTGTTGCCGAGGCTGTTCTCAATGTTCTCCCCAAGAACCCCGCCAACTTTAATGTCGACAATATCCGCGTGGTCAAGATCATGGGTGGAAGCCTGGAGCAGAGTAGGGTCGTTAAGGGCATGGTTTTCCCTAAGGAGCCCGACGGTTCAGTCAAAAAGGCCAGCCGCGCCAAGGTTGGTGTCTTCACCTGTCCGATTGACGCTGGTCAAACCGAGACCAAGGGTACTGTTCTTCTGCACAACGCCAAAGAGATGATGGATTTCACAAAGGGTGAGGAGTCTCAACTTGAGACTTCCATCAAGGAACTTTACGACTCTGGCCTCCGGGTTGTTGTTTGTGGTGAACGTGTCGGCGATTTGGCAATGCACTACCTGAACCGATTCGGAATTTTGTGCATCCGGATTCTGAGCAAGTTCGAACTTCGAAGAGTCTGCCGTGTTGTCGGTGCCACCCCCCTGGCGAGGTTAGGGGCTCCTATGCCCGACGAGATGGGAAGCATCGACGTTGTTGAGACCCTTGAAATAGGCGGTGACCGAGTTACAGTCTTCCGCCAGGAGGATGAGGTTACTCGAACCGCCACCCTTGTGCTTCGAGGAGCAACCCAGAACCATCTTGATGATATTGAGCGCGCCGTCGATGATGGTGTCAATGTCGTCAAAGCCATTACCCGCGACCCGCGGTTGGTTCCTGGTGCCGGTGCTACAGAAGTCGAGCTGGTTGAAAGGATACAAGCTCACGGTGAGAAGACTCCCGGACTTAGCCAGTACGCGATCAAGAAGTATGGCGAGGCTTTTGAGGTTGTTCCTCGCACCATTGCTGAGAGCGCCGGACTTGACGCCACCGAGGTTCTCAGCCGACTTTACGCTGCCCACGCCAACAGTGACGCTTGGGATATTGGCGTTGATATTGAGGTTTGTTTTGATCCGTCCATGATGAATCCGTCTCTAACCCATGCCACAGAACGATGATAATACTGGTACTATCGATGCCAAGGACGAAGGCATTCTAGATCTTCTCATCTCCAAGCAGTGGGCCATCAAACTTGCGACGGAAGCTGCCCGCACCGTTTTGTCTGTTGACCAGATCATCGTGGCACGACAAGCTGGAGGACCCAAGCCCCCTGGACCCAACCCTGTATGTTCACTTCCCCTTTCCTATAAGAAGCTTGGACTGACCAAAACCCCCAGAACTGGGACGAGGACTAAATGGATAAAACTAAAAGGTTCAAAATGGGCAATGGATTTGACATGTGTGGCAATCGCCTGGTGTCGTGGTTGGTTAGATATCCTCTCAGATAACAGAGTCAAAAAAGCCTGGGCATATTTTTATAAAGATTATCCAGTAGCATGTTATAAACTCTGATGTGCCCTCTACTTAGATCACTCAGTTCTGTCAGACATAGTACCGCAATTATGGGACTTCAAATTTCAATAGCCAATTCAGATGATGTGACAAAGCTATTACGGACGAGAAGGGTCATTCATAAAAGGGAGTGATTTCTACCCCCCATTCATCTCGAAAACAAGCAGTGACGACGTTTCTTTAAGAATCAACAGTGAAATTTCGACTTAAGTATTTTCATGCAGCGACTTCTTCAAGTCCCTTCCCGCTTATGACTATTCATATGTGCAGATAATCCAAAATGGCAGTATATAAGGCAGAAAAAGGCTGTCCAGCACATCATTAGAACCCATTATACAAAAGGATCAACAGAATACAGGAGTATAACAAGCTTTCCAATATACTCCATAAGTAAATGCGAACCATGGAATTTCAGCGAGGCAATATCGCAGGACGAATAGAGCTGAGTTAGACCGATTGCAGTGAGTCAGAAAAGGATCTATTAATGCATGATGAAGCAGGTATATACTACGAGCATAAGGTCGAATGTGCGCCAGATAGTTGGTAGATTCCAGGGGTATCGAACAATTCCAGAGGGAAGCCGGAAGAGATAATGCATCACTTCATCGACTGAAGAAAGCAAGTAGCGAGTATAAAGTAGCAGTAGCAACAAATGTATGTGTAAAAGCGTGGGAAACATCTGAATGTTTTGGTCATGATCGGTCGTTAGTCAAGCTGAAAATAGAATCAGAGCGCTATTTCGGCAATGACAGTAAATGAAAAAAGAGGAAATGGACGAAAATGAGTATGAAGATCAGGATTCTTCTGTGATTCCGCCCTCGCCGCCACCATCCTCACGCCATTCTCGACTCTTCTCCGTGAGCTTCTTGACGCCGCTAACGCGGCAAGCCCATAGCCCCTCGATAGGGGTGCGGTACGTGAAAGCTCGCTGGGAGCTTATTACGCCGATTGCCTGCAGGACGGCCTTTCTACTGTCGCGACTGAAAACAGCAGGATGGTTGATCCACTCCAGACTACTCTCTAACTCAGCATCAAGGGCTGCAACAGTATTGGCATCAATTCCGGCACCAAGTCCCAGGCCATCGTTAGATCGGCTACGGCCCAATTGGGAGGAGGGGAGACCATTTACACCAGAGATTGCCGAAGCAGGCGGTGAAGGGCTGCGTTTGCGATCGGGAGTGGTTGATTGACCTGGCGAAGCGTCGTTTGCGGGATGGGGAGTAGAGGGAGCCGAAGGGGTCGACTTGCTTGGAGGGGGGATGGGGGGGAGTCCACCCTTTCCGAGACCTTTCAGAATTGATCGAGTCTCATTCAATAGTGTATGGGCACGGTCGTGTTGGCCGCGGCTGACCAGAGTGAGAGCACGGGTGAGCATGTCAGAAGTGAGGAGCTCCATGCGGCGTTGAACAATACTCGGGTGAGGAGGGATAGGAGGGGAGTTCTGCCATGTCTTCTTGGATCCTCCACTGACTGGAAGCATGGTGATGGCCAGAAGAGATGGCCGAGGCATATGTGTGACAGTGCCCTCGCGCAGGATATCCCCCCAGCTAAGGTCTGCTTGGATCAATGGAACCTCTTCAACAGAGAGAGTTCTTTCGTTATCGTTGTCCATAGGGCCGCCGAGTGCTTCGAGACCTGAGACAATATTATCCCAGGGGTCTTGAGGAAGTTGCTCTTGGGAAGTATTGTCAGGAAGAATGACAAGTTGCACAAGAACATCACGCTTGTCCCCAAATCGAAGATCACCAAGGGATGCTTCCGCATCTCTGCCCGTAGCTCGCTTCGTGATTTGCAGGGCACCACTAATCTTGTGGAATTTGGCAGGAGAACCCTCGGGCAGCTTTAGCTTAAGCTTAACATTCTGATGAGACAGGGTCTGCATGCTCCCTAGACATCCAGCGAGGCATTCGCGAAGCATCATCCAGTCCTTAACATAAGTATAAGAAGCTTTTGTTCTTGTTGACAATTCGATCATGGTGTCCGGCTTGTGTGTCATCCCAAGACCAAATGAGTGGATGGTGATTTTGGCAGCTTCAGCTCGAGACACGACGAAATCAACGCTATCAGCGTCCGAGGTAGATGCATCGCTTATCAACATGATAGATGCGATAGGGTTGTTGTACTTTCTTTGCATGAGCAGATCCATCGCGACATTGGCGCCCTCCACGACATCAGCGCGATGGCTCTTTTGGCCAACCGGCTTGATGGATGTCAGGATATTACTCCAGCCTGGCCAAGCCTTGGTAGTCATGCCAACGATAGGCACGCCGCCGCCGCCTGAACCAAACGTGACCAATCCCATACGGTCACGCTCGCCCAGTGTGTTCACCATAAATTTCAGGGCATCTCGGACGAGGTTGATCTTGACGCCTTGCATAGAAGAAGAAATAGGCACCACGACGACGACATCGATGGGCACATGAACCGACTTCGCCATGGCAGGACTTCTGGGAAAGTTCGTATAGTCAGTGGGTGCTGTGGTCGTTGATCTCGCGCCACCCCAGGAGGATGCAACCGAAGAGACTCTCTGTGGGCGCGAACGTTGCCACTCCAGTTCCTCGTCAGTTTCTGACTCGCCGCGATCATATTCGGGACTGCGTACAGGAGACGTCTCAACAGCGTTAAGGTCAAGCAGAGCTTGCTGCCACAACTTCAATTGATTGCGGTTCTCAAAACGAAGATGGAACTGTGGTAATTCAGCAACCGAGAGGCTGAGCGTCAGGATATTCTCGTCGATATTTCCCGTCTCTGACACTTCATTCAGGTGCTTCTTAATGAGAATTGAGCCCTTGAGAGTGCATCGAGTTGTTTTGCGTGGCGCACCATTCTCATCCCACTGTTGTGCCTGAGGAATCTTCTTCTCCTTGACGCAAATAAGCATCTCAGCGAAGAGGAAACATTCCAATTCCTGCCACGAGACTTTATCCTTACCCACCCTGAGAGTACCATAGAGCCTCAATTTTCCGAATCTGCAAGAAAAATTAGCCTTTGCGTTCATACTGACCATGATCGCCGACTAATAAAAGTAAAGCGCCGCCACTAACCTGCTAAAGTCGAGCCCGTGCCAATTATCAACGCGGTTGCGCAGACTATCGGTCATCTCTTCCAAAACCTCCGTAGATTCGTATGGGTAGAAGCGAGGCGCACTGCGAGCTGGAGATGGCGGGCGGCCATAAGCCTCCTCAGCACGGTTGGTGGTAGGAGGAGGCAGAGGGGCTGCAGCACCCAAATCTTCAGGGTCCGGCCTCCAATTATTATCAGGAACCTCAACAGTAACCAGACATGTAAGGGTCTGTTGTTGTCGTGAGCGGTTCAATGTTGGGAACTCAGAGCGAACAGTGACAATCGGAGCCGGAATAGGGTTGCGTGTCATTGGTCTAGGACTTGCAGGTGTCGTCTCCATCGCTTGGACATCGTAGTCGTGGCGTCTGGCAGGTCCGCTTTGTGTTGTCTCGGGATATCCGCCGGATGATGCAACTCCTGTGGCTTCACTGTCACTTCGAGCATGCCTCGAAGGGCCATATCGATCTGATAATGGGGCATCTCGACTATCCCTCATACTACCCCGAGCAACACTGTCACGGCCTCCGACGTGTTGTTGCTGCATAGGCCGTCTTTGATTGCTCTCGACACTGGGAGCTCGAGCTGGCTGGTTATCCCAAGGGGTTGCTGTTGGTGTTGGCGTCATGGCGGACCTCGAATCGGTACCGACTGAACGCACCATGTTGCTAATCTTCTCTATACTCATGTCAGTATGTCGCTCCGAGTGTACCAGAGCAGGTAGCAAACCAATATCTATAACGTTTCCTCCTCGACTTGTGTCTAAGTGGAGGGGTGCGTCGCATGTCGGGCAATATTGTGACTCGAATTCGCGAATGAATTCATAGAAGCATGCCTCATGGGAGACATGAGAGCAAGAAAATTGTAGGATGCGCTCGCCGCGTAGGGTGTGTTCAAGCGGCTCTTCACAAACAGCGCATTCGCTTCCTACAAATGTGCGCTCTCTTCGTGAGCGACTTCTATCAGCGTTGGTAGCCATAACGTTGTTGTCGATACTGCCAACTCGACGGGAAGCGTTGCTAACGCCTGACCTCACTGAGCCAGCGGAGGAGACTGAGTCTTGCCCGCGGAGAGATTTGGTTTGAACAGAATGTCCTTCGGTAGACGGTTTAGAGTCTGTGCCAGTTCGAGGTCTTCGACTGGATGCGCGTGAGCCAACCAAGCCAAGTTCTCGAAGATTTGTGGCAATTGCCTTGTCGTCCTGTCCTTGACTCGATGAAGTGTTGTGATCCTGGGTTTTCCGTAGTCTGCGAAACATTTAAATAAGACACCCTTTCTTCGCGGTGTCTCAAGTTATTGTGTTGCAAAACAAGCACTGGTTCGACGGTTCTGGGTGATCGAGGAATTGCTGGTCAAAGGCGGCTGAACTTAAAAGAGTAATAAGGGGCGGGAATCCATGCGCCGTCAAAAGTTCTCGGAACGGCAGATCGAGGTAAAGATTCCGTGATCGCAAGGGGCTATGTGATGTGGTCAAGCACGGTTGACTGCAAGAACAAAATCAAACCCAATCAGAAGATGGAGATAACAGGATGTCGGGTGCGAAAAGGGCGAAGAGACAATTATGCGGCACCACTATTGTGAGGAATAACGTTTCAACTGTGCGAGGTCGCTTGCGGCCGGTTGCGATTTGCGACAGGTCGGGTTGTGATGTTTCTGGCTTTGCTTTTTAGCAATGCGCGATGTTATGCTAGCCCTTGGTCATCACTCACTTTGGGTAAGTTGGCCTAGAATCACTTCTCCACAGATAGAAACAAAAGTCACAATCGTCTCGCCACGACAATCTTCGAACAATGGAATTGCTTTTGCTTTCTAGGCGCTCGTAAGATGGAGATTTTCGTTGAATGAAGAAACAACCAATTCAGCGGGTGGTATCCGAAGTCGTTGAGGCGATAAGGCTCGTCTATCTTGCGCTCGCTCGCTGATAGGCAGATTCGTTTCTTTTTATTAGGATAGACGATCCTACTGTCTGTTTGCTTCTAGGCGATTGACTCCTGATGGATGAAAGGAGAGGAAAGGGAAAGATTTGAGACGAGAAAAGAAACGAAATTACTAAAGCATCAAGAGCAAGAGCTAAAGTGGAAGGAAGTAACTTAAGGTATGGGCGTGGTGGGCTATATTTGAAAGAAATGGAAAAGAGAAATGGATGGATGGATGTTTGATTTGCACCGTACGACCAGGCCATTAACCTTGAGTGGCACCAAATCCAATCCAATTCAGGACTCCTGTGCTTGGTACTAAGATGCTTGGTGCCAGGTACCACCTATTAAGAGACGGAGGACCTCCCTTTCAGAGCTTGGCCTGTTCTTTAGGTAGGACCTTCTCACTGGGGGGCGCCTTGAATGACTTTGCACCGGTCACTAGGGACGCTACCAACCGTCAACTTCCACTCTGTACCCCTTCTCCCGGGACTAGGGTTGCTGATTTTTAGTTTGTCGCTCTCGCGGTGGCCGGACAGGATAGTGGATCTTCCATTAAGCGTGCAGGGATCCTCCCCTGTATAACCACAAAAAAAGGCCCGGGCTTCTGACAGGGGCACCCCCAGGACTCAGAGCCAGGGCTGCGCTCAGAGCCGAACAGTCACCACCACCACCACAAAGCATGGATGTATCAAGCCAAGCTGGGGGCTTGTATCGATTCCCCCCCCGGTGGCCTCCCTCAGGCACATACCCGGCATTTCATCTCTAACGCTTTTCTGCCCCTGGCTTTTCCAGCTTTCAGGTCCCAGGTCCTGTACGTATGTAGTAAATAGAGGTTGGGTCTTTTTCGGCTCCCAGTTGCCCGACCTCGAGAAAGGATGGACGGGAGCCTGCCGATGAGGCGGGCCAACCATAACTGCTATACTACCTACCTACCTATCTATCTATCCAAGGGTCAACATTCAGGGAAGTGAGCTTTAAGGAAAGAAACGAGCTTCCCTTACAGGTCAACTCCACTCGTAGGGTCTCTTGACTCGAGCCTTCAGAGAATTTCAACTCGGTCGTTATCGTATTCCAAAATCAAGGGCCTTCCTAAAAACCGGGAGGGGATGGGATCTATTGGGGCCTGAGCTCCATCCAAGCGTTTGGTTACATACATACCTACCCAGGCTAGCGAGAGACTTGCCCATCCAGGGAAGTCACCTTCCTATGGGAGGGGAGATCACTGATGTGCCTATCCGCGCTGCTCGACTCTAGCCTGGTGCCACCACGTACCTAGTCAGTGCACTCGTCTGGCCATACCTGATGGCGTTGGATGCAGCTCCTTTAGGTAGGGACAGCAAGCGTCGGCTGGTCATTCAATCCCATCCAGATCTGAAGACACTTTCCACCAGAGCTACTCCGTACCAGGGGCATAACTCAGGGGTCGATTCACGTGGCTTGGTCAAGCTGATGATCGCCGTTAAACTCACCTTCGAATTAAGAAGTCTCCAAGTTCAACATCATGGTGTAAGTCAGGAGGGCACGCGCACGAGCATCGGGTGTCTTTGCCAGACACTAGGTCATATGCTGTCTCACTTGCTTCTCCACATGCGAATGTCTTCATCCACTACGTACCTACCATAGACAGGAGGTATACGTGCAGTCAATGTCGAGAACCAGCGTCTACTGTTCTACAGGCCCTTGCGTTCGCTTCACCAGTGTGAGCTAGGATGTGGGTAGCATAGCTTAGCAAGCATCAGTATTGATTGGAAAGCCAAGCTACCATGGTTAAATACACCATCGCGAAAACATACAGTGTATTCATCTTTCATCAGTCAAAATTCTTCGAGTCTGCGGGTATTCGGCCCTGGTATGACATAGTCACTCAGCATAGAATATGCCTTCTGGAACTCAATTTAATACCGGAAACTGGACTCTCCGCATCATATTCTGACTCAAGTGAGAACTTGACAACTGATTCTGTGTAGGATGGCAGTGCAGCATGAAACAATTCACTGACAGTTTGCGATGACTGTGACATGGCAAACGAACAACACTTGATACAAAAGAGCGACTTGAAACGGGTGAACAACTATAGGCTGGCCAAATCTGGAGAACAAAATACTGACCACAGAGTCTGAGAGTCTGCGTGAATAGGTATAACTTCGAGGAGACAAGTTCAAGACCAGGGACGCATCTGTAGAAAGAGAGACAAAACTGATAATTACAATGCACACTGTATGGTCAGTCAAGCAAGGGTATTTGAGAATCATCATAAACCCCTCAGGTTCGTTGAACTTACACTCCTGCGAGGGTTTCGCCAGACTCTTCGACCAATTCGGAATGTAGCCACAAGCGGTACAGTTTGTTACTTATGTACAGTATGTACAATGTATCAAAAACAGGGTAGACGGGAAGCTGGCTGTGACGGAATCTCAGTTGGTGCAGGTCTACCGAAACAGTCGCACGCAACTGCAAGATGGGGAAAAGCGGGCAATCATGACAGAACAAAACGAAGTCATGGCCTATGTGTTTCAGAATGCCACCATTTCTTGGTACAGTAGCGGAGAAGTTCGTTTCTATTATGAAACACACGTATTCCGAGACACACAAGAAACGATCCTCAACTCTGTTGGTGGCTGATGGCTGGGCTTCTAGAAGGCCAACCCTGCTGCGGCTGTTACATACATCACCACCACGACATCACAGGAGGTGGGCAGAAGAGAACGAATAAGAGTTTCTCTATCCGTAGGTTGTGTATTTAGAAGAATCCTGCCAGTTGTAAAGGTGTTGCCATCGTGGCGTTGACGTTGTGGGTTGGAGACAGCGTCCTTGTGTTAACCTTGATAACGTTGTCTTGCATCCCCTGGATGTTGCTCGTCAGGGCTACCCATGCTGAGTCTCAATCCAGCCGTTTGATTGGATGGGGATCCCCCGGCAGCTATCCGCGACGGACAAGTGCCTGCAGCATTCTTCGAGGAATCTCAATCCTGGTGTTGAAGAGAGGCCTAAAATATATTATTAGTGAGGGGTTTGGAATCGTAGGCCTCTGATTAAGGTGCCTTTCCGACTGCGCATGCCAAGATGCTGCGAGTGCAGCAGCCTCAACAGCAACACTTATTATCCACGTTTTGAATTCGGAGTAACGAGGAATAAATATGACAGTGATGCTGCAATGGCCGAAAGACAGTGACTGTAGCCCAGTCTCAGAGAAAACGCAATGATGGAAGCCCTACTAACTCTGATCCGCAAAGGGACATGGCGCCATCAATGACAATCCTCTCCGCTTCCCACGCCGAAATCTAGATAGGGGAACGCTCCGCGACGCTGCGGTCCCGCGTATCTAGGGAATACTTCCATAGCGATTGTGATATGGTCTTGTTCACCCTGATCATCATCTCGCCTCTATTCAGTGCTGTTTTCCCACGGCCTTTTAGATTCTTTCCTCAGCTGCCAAGGTTGTGATACCCGTTACGGTTTGATATTGCCAAGGTACGCTCTGAGGGTAGATGATCCACAACATAGGGTTGGCCGCAGGAATATATACTGGACTTGATTTTGTGTTGCTGATTATGCCAACCAAAAAGTCGTCAATTTGAAAACATGTACTGAATACTTCTGTACCGAATCACAGTGGCGGTCAGGTTAGCACATGAGATCACAGCGTCATATCATATTGGCTTGCATAAGGATGTATCTGCAGGTTAGCGCGCTTCGATGGTGCTTCCAACGAATGTTCTATCCGCTAATACGCTACCTACATAAGTTAATTGATGGTGATGGGTTGAGCTGCTGGGATGGGGCGAACCGGTCGGTGCGACAGCCAACTGGAACATGCAGACACGAGCTAATAAGTTAGTGGACAGGCAACTTGTCACAGGAAACTTCTGAGGGGCGAGACAGAAGGGAGGGGACGGGCTGGACCCTGGGGTTGACGCATCCTTTACAGAGGACTCCGGCTCAAAGTAACGGTGGATGCTTTTTCAGACAACCGCGATTCAGCTGATTCATTGTGAGATCATCAGCGACAGCCCGTGTTCCAAGGCCAAGGATGAGCTGTTCTCTTTGCCCAAACAGAAGGGCTCATCGTGCAGCCTTCTTCAGCTGGATGACTACAACAGAAGCCATTCCGCACTCTGCACACAAGACGAGGCAGTACATCAACAAAGCTGGGAGAACCATGCGAGCCTAGAATCTGGCATAAATGGCAATAATTAGCTCACCGTTACTAATGAGATGGATTTCAGGTATCGTGGGTCAATGCTGTTATGGTAACATATCCATTGTAATATTAACACAACACAACACCACGGAACCAACTTCGACCTTTCCTAATTGTACAGTTGCTCACGACAGAAGCCCCTTGCAGAAAATCATCATTCTCGAAGTTTACCAGTCGGGCAACCATATCGCCTGGATCCAACTAAAACGCCACACAGCCCTTCAGATCGTTTTCCAACGACTCGTGATCTTTGGATAGGTGCTTGGCATTGACATTGATTTTGGCACGGACCCCTTGCACCTGTGCCCATAGCGGCCTGCTTGTGGCTTGGTTAGCTCGCAGAAGAACAAATCGCAGATCGTGCTCGGAATGTCTTACAGCTCTCGGCTCCTCTTTCAGCCTGACATGCTATCTCGTCTGTAGATTCGATTCGCGGGAAGCGTTTGCTTTTGCCGTCACGTACATGTATCCAGTCACGGCAATAATGAGGACTTCCCTAGGGACGGCTGATATCCTCATTTTTTCCTTGTTTAACCTGATTTCCTGTTCTGCTATGTTTTCCATATGTCTCTGTGTTCTAGCATTATATATCTCTAAGCTCGTAAACTTGACAGCTATTATGAATGGTAACTCTTTGTAGCAAACCTACCTGCATGTGGACATAGTAACCTTCTAGGTACGTATGACAGTTGCTGTCACGTTTCTCCCACGTGGCCAACTGCCTGCTGTGGTCCCAGTCTGGGGTTAGTCCGGAAACAAACTAGCCAAGATGAGTTCAGCTCCTGACTGGTCAAAGTCCTCTTCCATGTATTTTTGAGCTCGACCAACTGGTGTGGAAATATGCAAATTGCTGAATTTCTAAAGACATGACTCAGGACGCTGAAATAATTCGCGTCGATCTCCCGAAAGCAGTCACCATTTGTTGTCTTGTCAGACCTACACGAGAGAGCGGGTAAATCAATCTCGATGATTTACGGCACATAAAATATTAGCTGCGAATCACTCCTCAATTTATGCACGACCACAGGGTAAATCCATGCTGGGAAAGCATCACAATTGTATCAAACTTTAATTATGTTCACAATCCTAGTGAGAATCACAAAATATTATGTTCGATGACTCGGCCCTGCTTTTACTCGCCTAAAAGGCGAAGGTCAATGTTGTGTGTTGTATTGTAGTCGTCAACGTCGCTTCGTCCAGAACAGTTGTTGGGATTAGTAGTGCTGAAGAGGCTATATGTGCCGTGCTATATGATTTAAGTGCAGGGACATTGAAACTATTGCCTCGGACCCATCAGGTGTTTCTTCCACAGTACTCCGTACATCGCCAAGGTTCCTTTGGAAGCGAGCGACCAGGTGTAGGACCTGCAGGAGCTACCTATGATGGGTAACCGGTGAGAAGCAAACATATATGATGCCATATCGTGCAGCTTGAAAGCCACCGATTCACACTTCATGTCGTATCGGTTGCGCTCTTTCTCCGCGGCAGCTCATCCTACCATCATCGCTATCGAAATTTAACGCCTGCAATTACCGCATGTTTCTGACCTTCAACGTTTCATCCCTTCTTCCCCGGTAGGGACGCTACTTGAGCATATCTCCCAATTCCGAAGGAGCAGACATGGACCAGGGCCTTTAAACAAAGTGCCTCGAGCGTTTCGCCAGATGCAGCGTTTCCACTGAAGATGTGCCATTTCACTCCACTCTCGTGCGGAGGTGGGGAGGGTCAACTCATTTGGAGCGCCTGGCTGAGACCTGTTGGACTTGATCGAATCGTTTCCTTCCGTGTCTGAGATGCAGCCCACTCGCCAGGTACTGGGTTCGGATGACAGGACGAGATGCTAAGCTGATTTGTCGAAAGATCCCGATATCACCCCAATCTGCTTCGGAATGGTCAGTGTCTCAATGCAGTCAGCGTGCCTGTATTGAGTTAGTATCAACGGCACTGCGGCGGGTGCTATAGCTCTTCTCTGTTATACCTTCCTCGAAGTTGTGCTTTATTCAATGCCGACGCCAATGTACCAGTCGTATCGATTGCTACAGATGTCGCGTACCTCGCATACCCAAAATCTCGCTTGCCGATCTAAATACGTTACGCAAATCGCGCAGTAACAACTGTGGGTAGCTGAGCACAAGCATGCCTAGATATCTCCAACTTAGCTAGGTATGTCGATCTAGACCATACGCCGTATTTGGCCCAGATGTAGATTGTGACTGTCATACTAGGTAGCATAGACCTCTGGACCTTGTTGGTCAAGATCATCAAGTGTCCATATGTTAGTAAGTCACAGTTTAATGAATGATATTACTTCGGTGAGCCCTTGCTTCGGCTTACAGGTCTCGTCTTGGAATTCACACTATGGCCATGGTCCAGGCATTGGGCTTTTTGTTACAATAACTGTTAGCGATAGTACGGATACCTGTTTCGCCGAGCAAAGTGATCTTTGAATACATGTATAGGTAGCTGTAGAATTCTCGATGGTATGGCACAAGAAAACAACGACTCGTTTCACAACTATAGTTTATCTTATTCAAGGACGCGTCGTGGCCACTGCCGATAGAGGATAACTGAACGAATTGTTGGTTCTGAAATAGACGACTGTAGTGTTTTGAGCAGAATGACTCCTAGCTATGGTATTATGGTATTGAGCTAACGTGACAAAGAATAGATACTTGGTTAGTCCTCTACCTGACGAAGAAACCAGACCGTTGCTGCGTGACACTTCGGTTTCTCTTCAAGAGAATATCTTTGGAGCTCTTTGCATGCTTCTTCAACTTGGGTGCCATCCTCTCATCTGTCTTTTTAGCAACGCGGTAGACGGTTGAGCCCACCCGCTCATCCCTAGGTCCCCTTTCCTGACGGGCCAGGCTTCTTTCCACAGTGGCAACGCGACGTTTCCTTGGACGTTCCTCTGGTTGATCGTCAACCCCATCAGCCTCGTCCTCGCTGGAATCTGTCAAAAACTCGGCGGGTAACAGGTTCACCGCTTTCTCTGGTTTGCTTTGTTGGATGAGCGACTGCGCCGGCCCCTCTTCAACAGACGGTTCTTCATTTGCCCCAGCCTTCTCTTGCTCCTCCAACTTCTTGCGCTCTTCAGCTTGCTGCTTGAAGAAACCATCCCTTTCCCGACGCTTGCGCTTCTGTGCAGCAGCTTCCCTGGACGCATGTTAGAAATTCCGGAACATGAAATAACAAGACCGGCGAAACTCACTCCTGTGCTGCTTTCTGAGCTGCTTGGTTGGATTTCTTGATATCAGACGCCACCTTAGAAGTTGATACGGCCTCAGGCGCTTCATCGTCACTATTATCTTCCTCGTCTTCCCCTACCTGCACAGCAGGTTTCGGAACTACCAAAGGGGGAGGCGCCGGGCTGTCATTGTCGTCATCTCCAAAAACCACCTTGGTGCCCTTTGATTCCATTAAAGTTGGCGTCGCACCGTCACTGGAGTCACCGTCTTTGGCTCTTACGGGCAACTTGCGCTTTTCTTCCGATGTCGGTTTCTCCACAGATGTATTCTTCGTTGTGTTTTGGTTGTAGTTTCTCTTGCGCGTTTGAGGTGCCATCTTCGAGTATGTGTAGCTGATGAACAAACAGCTTGTGGCAAATGTAAAGAATTTTGACTTAGGATGCTGATGCTCTTCAGCTGCAGGAAAATAAATTATCAAGAACCAAGATAATACGGTATTATGATACTTCAGACTTTTAAGTCAGAGTATGAATTTAGCACCCTGAGCTGAATTTGGTTGTGAAATGTTGTTAATCAAGCTCTTCAAGATGTATGAAAAATTCAGTTTGAGATGGGTTTTTGGACGGGCATTTCACCAACGCAAGATGTGATTGGACACTGGCGCCCCACATATCAAGTAAGGTACCTAGTGGCAGAATCTCACTTCACTTCACCCAAGGTACTTACTACATGCGACTACTGGCGAAAAGGATTCTTTTGGTATAATAGGTAGTCAGACTGTCTCTTATTTACTAAGTACCTGGTCCAAAATATGTCGACTGCGAAGCTTCATATAAAACCTCGTCATGTTTACCAATTGCTACGTGGTGACTTTACATTACCATGTGCACTTGTCGCAGAGTCATCTCATCATGCTGCCCTGAGCACCTCGAGCAATTCCATTAGGTGTCAGACTCGCTCATATGCTACTCCGAAAGGCGCAAGGAAACCTCTTCGTCCACCTCCTCGGGCACCCAAGCTTGTTAAAGCTCAGCCAAGCTCCAGCAACCAGACTGATTTCGACCTCAGTCAAATCTCACCTATGGACTTCGAACTGGCTATGCGAGCATCCCAGAATCAAATTTGTACTCTCAGACCAGAGGAATATTACGAGTATGCATCAAGGTTTTCGAATGCCATAAGAAAGGGAGCGCATCCTTCTAGCGTCAACCTCTTTGGCAAGTTCCCCTCGGAAGAGCATTTAGGGGCCCACTAACAAGGTGCAGAGAACCAAATTCCAGTCGAGGTTGCACATGAGATGGCGTGCTTATTGTGGTTGCACAGGAGAATGAAAGCCCATAGTTCATTCTCGATGGCATTGTGGGCTTCAGCTTCTGAACTCAACTATAGTCCTGCGGTTGTCTCTCTCGCGAGCCAGCTTTTCGTCAGTGGATCATGGCGGAAAACAACTGCTTTCGCAGATGCTGAGAATCGGTTCCTGAAGCTCGTAGCTGAAGCGAAGAACTGCAATGCTCTTACAGTCTATGGCGAATATCTGTTCCAAGATGGAAAGTATGACCAAGCAGTGGCCATGTTAAGCCAGGCCCTCAGCGTTGACGATGGAGTCTTTGAATGGAAGCGGAAGTGCCTGGTATGTCTCGCAAAGTCTTACGCCAAGCTTGGGAGAGCGCATGAGGCAAAGAAAACACTTGAGTTGCTAGGAGACGCAGAAGCAGACGGTGAGCTTGACCAGATGCTTCGATCAAGTGATGCTGAGATGACACGTCAACAATTGTACGCAGATGCCGTCAAGGGCAAGCATGATTTGTTTTCACGGCTGGCAGAAGTGGAATTTGAGAGAGAAGCCAAGGAGACGGATGCCGAACTGAAGAAGAATCACCATCTATGGGGCTTGGAGTGGTCGAGACTGGCAGACCCAGGTGCAAAGTTTTAATGACATGGAAATACATCAAGGTAAAACCCGGAGATTGCCCCAGCCTCGCAAGTTACACTCTGTTATATCGGACTCGATTTGAGCGCCTCTGTAGTGTATAGTATGGAACTGACGTTACGGTCTTGAACAACCCTTGTGTCTGATATAACCCAAACAGCACCGACGCTCATGTCTTCTGCTTTTTTGTGGTAATCTCGCTGCTATGCCGTCTACTACTCCGTTTACTCATTGCTCGATTCCCGTTTTCGATAGACTCTATTCCTTCGCCTTTCTCCTTCGCCTCATTATCCTCACGACCCCCTTGATCGTCTGCATAATCAGCGTGCTCGCCATTATCACTCTCAATATCGCCTTGAATCTCCCCACGGCTGGTAGGAAATAGTTTGCGCCAGGTTCCATCAAGCGCCTGGCCATCATTCCCATGAAGGCCAACCTGATATGCAGTCTTCATAGCAGAGATGCACACGTCACGTCTTTTTGCAAAGTCAAACATTGGTTTTGGATATGTTCCCTCCTCAACACTGTTCAATCCGTCGCCCTTTATGCGGACACCTGCCTTTTTCTGATCCGGGAGGGGGGCTTTCCACGGTTCATAGATGTACTTGGAGTCCATATTTTTGAGCTCTGGCACATAACAACGGATGAAATCTCCTTCCTTGTCCCACTTCTGGCCAAAGGCTATCGGGCTATAGCAGCGGAAGTACTGTGAAAAGAAGGCCGTACAAGATAGCCACTGCCAATTGCCAGCATTGCAAGCCGGCTCATGGTCTATGAGCCATTCCTCGAAGACCTCACAACCTCGCTCCCAGTCAATATAGCAGCCGCCCCTTGTCAGAAAGCAGGCAACCGCATGCCGTCCCAGGTGATGGATCCAGCCCTCGTCTTTTAGCTGTCTCATTAAGGCATCTATCCAGGGGAACCCGGTCATTCCAACTCTCCATCTTCTAAACCAGATCTCTGCCTCCTCGGAGTCAATGTGATACTCTCCAGTAATAAGTCCTGTTTCCGAATCTCTCTTGGAGGGCAAGTGCCAGGGAATGAAACGACAATACGGATTGTTCGCCGTCTGCGAGAAGACGTAACCCAAAGCAGCTTGAGCGGCGAAGTACATGTCTCTGAAGAGTAGTTGGCCAATGAGGCTTTCTGGAGGGTTTGAAGCACCCTTTCCATACGAATCGACAATTTCCCTTACCCGCCAATAGAACAAACGCACAGAAAGCGCCCCGAAGTGCAAAAATGGCGAGAGGAGAGTGGTAGCTTGTGGCTCGAATTGAGCTGGATTCGTTTTGGGTTTCTGGAAAGTTGCAGTGTATTTCTTATCTGCAATCAACTTGTTGAGTTCTTTCAACGCTCGTGTTTCTCCTCCACGATGGGGTGTGGTCGCAGGTGGGAAGCCCAATTCCTCCATTGTTTCAATGGCAAAGTCATCGTTTGGCCCTGCTATCCTGGCGTAAGCTTTATCTCTTTCTGTCCGAAATCCTGCATTGAAATCTGGCTTGGTATTCGGTTCGTCCTGCTCAAAGTTGACAGGCATGTCTCCTGGATCCGGAAGATGTTTGGGAGCAGGAATGGGTTTCCGGATCTCACCAAGCTTGCTCCCGGCGGTTTGAAGCTGCGTGATAGACATTGTTGGCTTTCCGCCATGCTTCTCGACTATCTGGTCACTATCCCATAACGTCCTGCCCGAACGGACAAGGACTTCGACACCGGCATCTTTAGCCGCCTGGACGACAACGCTATCTCTCTCACGACCATAACTGTCTGTGTCTTTTTCGAAGACCAAGTGAGTGACCTTCCATGCCTTGAAGAGTTTGGGGAACAGAGTCTGTGGTGCTTCTCTTAGAACAAAGAGTTTTGACTTGGGGTTCACCTGTGAAATAGATTGGGAGAGGTCATTCTGGCAATCCAGGCTTTATTTCGTCAGAACAACTGCAAATCAAGGAGCAACTTTTTCTCTCTCTTTCTTTCTTACAGAAACTGCCATCTATTGAGGCCTCCTCTCGCTCGGTATACGTAATGAGGATCCCACGTAAAGATGGGCCAAAGAACAGCCGGATCAAGGTCGAGAGCCGCTTTGAGAGCCGGTGAATCGTGAAGTCGCAAATCTGTCCGGAACCAATAAATCACGCGAGGTTTTGCCATCTTCGAAATTTGGTCTAATACTGTCGTGATACGAAGCCGAGATCATTGAGAAGTTGGGCATATCACTCTCAGATGTATTTCCTAGTCGAAAAGTCATGATGTCAACACTTGTCAGACCCCAGCCACCAGCTTTATGGCCAGTCAAGCCAGTCAGCTAGTGTCTGAGACAATCAGAAAGAGCACGTTAATTAGCTACGCATAATGGCAAATTTGTCCATCCATAGGTTCAGTTTGTTTACTAGCGCAAGTTGCGAAGCTTTGTGAAGTCCTTCGAAGCATACACAGGGTTCTAAATAGGGTCAAATAATTATGCTGCTCTTGCAGTAACTTGAAAGGTACGGAGGTCAATTTTGACAAGAACACATGCAGCTTCACAATTAATTGAAGAGCCTTTTGACTATCTACCTATTTATTGTTTAGGTTCCTGAGGGGGGATCTCTAGCTGTTTTGCCTACCAAGCAATACCTATATAAAGTCTAATGTCTATGCTAAGATTTGAACCGAATTGCTACAGCGGATGTTATTGTTTGATTGCATCTTGTCAATCAGGCAGTAATGGGATCGGTTAACAACATCCAGGAATCAGACAACGAGCATATGCAAAGTCGGCCACTTCACCATCAAACTTGGCCTTGGGTCAAACGCCATGACTACATAGACATGGTCAGAAAACCGAGACCATGAGACGCACACGGTGAGAAACTAGCCGGACCTATAATGACCTCTCCAGTGCAAAGAGTTCGGTTTGCTAATAGTCTCGATAATCGTCTGTCTTTGGTGATGCAAGACCATTCTAGGCGGACAGGGCGGAACATGCATTTAGAAATCATGGTTGTGTATCAATTCGCTGAAGAACGAGCCCATCCCTTCTCAAGGGAGCCGTCACGGCAGCCGTAATACAGCATGTGGGCGATCTAGGGCGATGTTGTTTTGGTGCTGCCATTCAGTTGCTCTTGTTAAGGAGTTTCCAATTGTAGCCGAGACATAAATGTCTTATCCCTGAGCCCCGACTCACATTTACCGTGTCTCACCTGCAGCACAATCGCCCAAGCATTCACGTGAGACAATAAGATACGAGTTGGCTCGAACATGGAGTAAGATGATGTCTGCTTCCGGTTTGTCTGTCTCCGTTGTTGTCTTCCTTGACAAGTCCCATTCAAGACAACTATGCAATTACACTATTAGCACGTAGCTTCTTGATCAACTTAGTTAGCAACGGATCTGGGAGTGTGCATCTGCGGGTCTTACACATGCAGGTAATATTTGAATTAGCATTCATTTCCCACAACAGCAAATATTAGCTCAGTGCTGTGTGCTGATGCGGCTCAACTTCTATGGGTATTGGCGTGCCTAACGAGTGCCCCGTCGACTATTGAGAACGGCGGCAATGGACAATGCAGCCACCTGTAATCATTTGCATCCACATGAAAGTTATTATTCTGTCAAAATGCATGTTGATCATAAAAGTCAACTACAAGTCTCCCCGCATGTTGAAGGTGGAGACCAAAGTAAACAAACAAAACGACTCCAACTAAACAAACAAATAAAAAACAAGTAAACACCAGTTCCTGAGCCCTTCTGCAGCACACGCCAGTCTAACGCTACAATTCCACTGAAGAGGGGACTGCGATGACTCTTTCCTCGAAGCAATAAGACTGAAAGAGTTGTAATTTAATAATCAAAGTACTACGTAAAGCCCATTGTTATACGGAATAGGACATGATCAGGTTATCTATTATATTGAAAAGAAGCTCGTCATTGGCCAATGGATGGATCATTGAATCCCATCCGATGAATAGTATTAGCAGGTAGGTAAGGTAATTGATATCTTTCTCATAGTCAGAATAAAACGTCCGGCATTTATGAAGACCCATGAAGAGGTCTCGACCACAGCAACATTCGGACAGCATCACCGGAAAAACTGACTGGAAAGAGAGCTGGCATACTGGAACATCAGCCATGCGTTTATGGCGAACAGCAGATAAATCTAGCCGAGCTGTAGCCAGTCAATGATGACGTCGACAGAGACAAAGACGGACGCTGCTGTACTCGTGCCCGACGTCGAGGCATATTGGTAACCTTAGCGAAGCATGGCACTGTTCGCGGCTCGAGATGGAAGGCCGTGACTGCAATGACAACGGAAGCGTGTCCTGTCAAGTCTAGGAGAAGGCTCGGCGGATCCAATCGAAACCCATGCCGTTTTCCACCTTGTGAATGCATATGACCGTGTACGTGTACGATGCTAAAAAGGCCCGAGACAGTCCAGTTCACTATACAACACGCAACTAGAACAGATTTAGTACTGATACAATAGACACCCGATAGGACGCGATGCGGTTATTGGTAAGCCACCACCGGAGCCCACAAACTGACTAACACAGGTCCAGGACAGACGGCTGACCTGGGTTGATTCATTAGAGGCTGCGAGCATAGTAGTCCAGACCACAATAGCATTTGGAGACGTGGGTGTGGACACGGAATTGTAAAAGCAATATTGGTAGTGATCAGATCTAGATTCAAGCATCCTGATCAAGAAAGAGAAGAAAGTCTCTTGTGTCCATCGCAAGCCAATGTTACATAAAAATTGGTTTGTGAGGCAAGATGCTTTACTCCCTACCTGAATACATACAATAAGAACGCAAGTGTGCAAGAGGTTGGCGGTACCCTATTATTAGAACTTTTGAATCTCAAATGCAATGCGGGGCTGGAGCAAGCAAGTGAGTGATCGACGGCCAGTTACCAGGCCTGCGTCATTCCCATGATGGCTTAGGTGCAGAATGGAGGGTTCCCATATAGGACATCTGGCTGTTATTACTGCTGCATTCGCAAACTTTGGAAACACACCACAGGACATAGTT